TTTTTTAGAAGCGAGGACAGGTTTAATGTTCTTTACAGTTCACATAAACAGGTTCTTAGAGAGGCTCTCTATATTCCACCACAGAAAGGACTATATTCACTTTTTTCAAATGTAAGGAAAGTTGTCCACAGATGTAGGTTCCCTCTTAAAACATTTTTCTGTCCAGATTTTTTGGACATTAAAAATTAGAATTTGTTGAATTTAAACTGCATTTAACTTTGAACACAAGTGTTCTGCCATGCACAGTAATTCATGAGGTAAATCTGTTCATAATCTGTGATATAACTTTTTTTAAATTCATCATGTAGATGTATACTGTTGCAACTGCAGGATGTTGCCATTTTTAAGCATGGCATTGTCTGTTTTTAAAATCGTCTGCATAGTAAAATGTTTGCACAGAGTGTGTAATCTCTGATGGGTGCAAATTAAATTAAAACAAAAACTTGCAGAGTAAAATTAGTAATGATGTGGGTTTTAGGTTGTTAATGTGTGTTGGAATAAGACATGTCCCTAAACTTCTCTCTTCTAAAATTTACTCTCTCTAGTTTTGAGAATCAATTGTTTTCTTTTTGGTTGTTTTTTTTTCTTTTCATTTGCAGTTTCAGTGAAATTCCATGCACGCCCTCGTTATAGGACGTAGGCCCACGCAAACGTTTTACTCATCAACTGTGGTCTCACTATTAACCATCCTTCTTCATTTGACTGTTATACAATAATTTTGTGTTTGTGAAATGCCAATATGGTGACATCTTTCCCTTTATTCTTTCATTATTCAATCTAACTTTAACTGACGCACGTGTCTATTCAGTGTATTTGACTGAAAAACGCAAAACCAATTTTTATTTTAAATCAATTATTGGATTCTTTTTAACTTTTAATTGCGCATGAATCACATTTGGTTTATTTTTCTTTTTTTTAATTTTGTTGCTGATCAATCTTCATTTGCGCATCAGCTTATGAAGTGGATGTAACTCAGAGTTCAAGTCGAGCCGTTTAAATTTACCTTGTAGAAAATATCATTTTCAAAATAAAGTAGTAGGCCTGTCCCTGACACAATCTTGCTTTATTTCTCTTATGGACAGATATTATTTACCATCAAAAAGGATGTTTTTATTATTATTAATGTGTTTCTTAATAAACACAGTTTGTGTTCAAGTTAGACGCTTTAAAAGCTCACTAAATGCATTCCAGTTGTGTGCTTTATAGGGGCCGAATTCACGTGATGAAAGTATTTCGTGTTCACTCTTACGTCATTATCTTTTTTTCTATTATGTTTGGTTCAGTTATCTGTGACGCAGCGTTAACGCGTCTCATCTGAGGCAACAAGTTAATTATAGGCTCATTGAAACTTTCAGGCTGAATTGCTTCATTTACGGCTCATCTGTTTGTGTCGCTTAGAAACAAAAACCAGTGCCTTCTTTTTTTTCCTTTTTAACTTTCTCATTAAGGCCTACGATCGATGTGCATATAGTAGGCCTACGTTGCTCTTCAACCCTCACTTTAACGAGTTTCCCTTTAACTGTCGAAGTTTATTCCAAGTTTTTTTTCAAATTAAAACTAGACTGTATGACTGTTTTTCGTGGTAGGTAATTATTATTTTGTGTGTGTGTGTGTGGGGGGGGGGGGTCCTACCCAAAACTAATTTACACGAATACACTGTCCTTTTTTAAATGAGTTTGGATTCTTAATTTCTTTTTGCATGTTACACTGAAGGCGTGCAGAGCGCGTGTCCTTGTGCAACTGGGCTGTATTTATTTTTCACATCATTTGCGGCAATCAAACTGGATTCAATTTGACTTCTGAGTTGTTATAACTGAAATTCTTAGATGAGGGTTTAAGTTTATTACATTGACCTTACAGTGTGAAGTTTAAGTTCGTGGCACGTGAGCTGAATATAATTATGCAATATCTCTTGACAGACTTTTTAAAATTGTATCACACGGAAAACGATTCATGATGAAATACTTTTTTTCCTCCGCCACGTCATCTCCTTTTCTGCAGGAAGGACTTTTTACTCTATTTTTACTTCCCTTGTATTCCTTATACATTTTATATTGAACAACTGGGTTCGCGTATTCTCTTGATAATATGAGGCTACAATCAAAAACAAATTACAGCTACACCCCATAATGATCGCACTATAAGACCCTGGGCCAGGGGCCTAAATTCATAGTCATTTTTTACATTCTGTAAACATTAGTGCAGTCTAAGATTGCTATGTTGCCATTTCAAGTTCTGTAAACTTTTCTTTATTCGTGTTGATTCAGTAATGGAGAAAAACGCCTTTCGGAAATCCCTCCGAGCTGCAGTTTGCAGCTGCAGAGAGAGAGAAAGGGGGGGCTGGCAGAGAGGGAAGAGAGAGAGAGAGAGAGAGAGACGTTATTCCTCAATAACTGGTTAAATTAGTTACGCTTGACATCTGTTCTTTTTCTTTCAGTCTTTATATGCCAATATAGGCTACAATATATTTTTAAAGTGTTGTACCTTTATACCTAAATGTTGTTGGATCCTATCTACTGTATCTAGAGGTTGCGTACTTGATATCTCTAATAGTTATTTTCGATATTTTTTCAATTAAGGCTCTGCTACAGCAATGAACTCCATCTGCTTTCTACCCTGCTTTCCCCACCAGATGCATGTGTGCTACAGATCTATACCAGTGTTCATATTGACAGCATGCTAATGACCCAACATCCTACACGTGCTGACTCTTTTATCACACTGAATGAAATTTACTTTGTGGGTGCGTGAATTGCGCACACTGCAAAAAAAAAAAAAAAAAAAAAAAAGAAGCAAACTCTTCCTCAATCAAATATTCACTTTTCAAATGCCCCCATCTAATTCAAATAATCTTACCTGTGCGAAGTGTCGATTTTCGGCGCGTGATTCAAATACAATCATATTTCAATAATCATTATATTTTTGATGTAGCATGGATGAGTATGTTTTGCACTGTCACTATATGAGGTGAGCTTTACGCAGCTGTTGCGTGCAGGCTCCGTCAGGGCAAACATGGCCCCTTACCGTTTGATCTATCTAAGAGAAACTTGCGGTTTGTTGTAATTTTTATTTGTTAGAATATAAGTCCACTAAACCTGTGTGAAGCCACAGGCCCAAGCACAGCCTACAATGGATGCCCCAGCTTTCTGGTTTTTTTCCCCCCTTCTTCTTTCTCCCCTGTAATTGCTTCTTTTTCCAGCCTTCTCTCAGACGTGGGATTGTTCTGTTCTGCGTCTTTTTCTGCGAAGGGAATTGATTCGACAGTGCAAAATGTATTCATAACATTTATAGACAAACTGCTTGAGCCAACGCTTCCCCAATTAGTTTAGTCTATTGCACGGATTCTGAACTAGAACCACAGGCAACAAAAAAACCCAAAACATGGTCGATTACTCAATCAATCGTAGTTATTCCTTAGGCCTTATGAAGACACCATGTTGACCCACAATATCTAATGATGTACTTTAAATTAAGATGAAGGTCAATAAGGTTGATCCCTGCATGTCTTGAGGCTGCGACTGTGGAGCAGAAGATGGGCCAGCGCGTAATGGCGCATGAAGCAGCAAATATTAAATGGAGTCCGTCCACCAGTGCTGGATTAGGAAGAGGTTTAGGAGGAAAAACTGGGGTGGGGGTATGGAAGGAATTATTATGTGGGGTATAAACCAATTCTTTTCCTACGAAGACTGCTCCCCATCATCCCCACCCCCCTCTGGTCCACATCGCGGACCCAGCTTCCGCTTCGCACGGTTGGTCATTGATGCGCAGAGGAGGGTTGGAGAGGGAGGAGGGAGGGAGAGATCGAGGGGGGAGACGTAGATTTGACAGGGCAGAGAGGCTGTGTGAGAGAGAGAGAGAGAGAGGAGGGAAGAAGGAGGTGACGGAGCTGCTCCTTTGGGACTCGGATACAGCGTACAGTTGGGAGCTATCGACAGTGTCGACTCACAAAAAGGTCTTCGGTTGTAAAATGCCCCAATAAGGCACCGAGTAGCGCCTTGTAGCTGTCACCGAGCTCCGCGAGGATCTCTCTACGGTCGCGGCTGTGCTTGTGGGAAACCTGGACGAAACTGTGAGAGGGTGGAGGGGAGAAGCAGGATTCATGGAGATTTTGTAGTAGCTTCATCGAGAAAGACGTCTGGATTATCTGTATTTGGACGAGGGATTGAACGCTGTAACGACCTGGTGGTGTTTCTCCGATGCGTTATCGCCGAGTCCAACTCTAGCCTCCGACTTGTATTGTATTTTAGGTAAGCTGATCCTGCTTTGATCCGGGTACGGGTATCCATAATACCAATCCATAGCCGTTGACATCGTATTACTTTGCCTTGCAGGGATCGCTGCTCTCAGTAGAAGTTACAGCGTGTAAATGTAGAGGATTATTAACAGACCGTATTATGTTCTGGTTATTAGATTCTGGACAGCAACATGTTGCGACATAACAATAAAGATTAAGTCTTTTGTTTGGGCAGCATGAATTAGAAACAATGTTTTCTTGACACGAGGGCAATCTGCTGTGCAGCCTTATTCTTAGTAAAAGGTTCTGGATCATGCGTGTTATGATAGAACTGCTACCGACACGATGCGTAAAAAGATATTATTGTCTAATAATTTAAAATGTTATTTTTTGGACATGAACTGACCAAACATTCAGCTTGTTTGAAAAGCATAGTATTGGTTCAATTTGTAATGCTCTTATTCTGAAAACTTTAACTTGGAAAATGAGATGCAATGGAACTATGTTGTGCTTTTTTAAAAATATTTTCAAACTGATATCACTGAGTTGTAGTTATTACCATGAAGCAGTACAGGTTAACCTGTAGCATACGACACTTCCAAAAAGCAGTAACTTTGTGGTCACTATTTTTCTGTTTTCCGTATAAACTTATTTAAACCTGTTTGTCACTATTTTAATGTGGAGGTTCAGACAGTGCTACACACACACACACTGACATCTCTGTCTGGCTCTTGCAGCTGGGACAGTAGTTTTCGGAGCTCTGGCCATGGCGGACCAAGAGGAAACTTTTGGCCTTCCAAACTCTCCTGGTGGCTCGGATTCAAGGGAAGTACCGAGCGAGAATAAATCAGAGAAACAGAACGGGACCTCAAGCAAATCCCCATCGTCACAGACAACTTACATTCAACAGGTCAGTATCTGTATGTGTGTCTGTGTGTGTGTGTGTGTGTGTGTGTGTGTGCGTGTGTCTGTCTGTAGGCCTCACTTTCACTGAACCTACTACTGTGACGAGTCGAGCCAGATTGAGACTTATGGGGACGCACTGAATGTAAACAAAAAATGAAGAAGAAAAAAGATGAATAACATGCACAATTGTCTGATGACTGTTAAATCATACAGGAACTATTTCTGAAAATATTTCATACATATATTTCTGCACATTGTAGTTCTTGCAAAGAGTTATTATGTACGGATATCATTTATATGCATTTAAACTTAACGAAATCTGTGTTCTGTCTCTTTGTTTTCACACTGTAAATTAAAGAAACTGACTTTAATGAAGAGAAACACCAGAAGAGTTTCTGTTCATTTCCGCTTAGTTTTTATGCTTTATTTTGACGAATTCGTGAGAGTGTAGTGATACTTGAATTGTCAATCGGTCCCTTCTTTGGTCTTTTTTATGTTGTGTATTTTTATGTTTATGTTTCATTTGTATCCTAAAGGACCAACAGGGTTGAATCTATAGAACTAACACACTGATCTTAAATTACTGGATACTCTCACAGAGGCGACATTTTTATTACAGGACCGATATAATTTCTGGTAATACGTATCTTTAACCACTCAATGGCCCTTATTGTGTAGTGGCCATTTAAAATTTTTATATTTTTATAAATTAAACACCTTGCTATTTTTTTAAGTAGTTTTCGGCAACTAATGCACGTGACAGTAACTTATTTCACATCTCCCAGGCCTCGACACCCGAACTTAAGCTTGACATACACATATGCGTAACATCTGCGTTACAGCATTGTTTTGAGAACTATATGGGCACTAAGATGTCTTATTTTGAAGGGAATGGAGGGAATCAAAGTCTACCTGCACGAGAGGGAACTCTGGGTGAAGTTTCACGAGGTGGGAACGGAGATGATCATCACCAAAGCCGGGAGGTAAGTAAAAACAACAAACAACAAACAAACACACTCTTTACAATTAATGTGAATGGAAACCGCTAGTCAGTTATTGGCTACATGGCTGCTTTCTTTCTTGAATTGTTTTGTATTTGTATTATTTGAAAATCTACTCCGTGAGGAACCACAGAGAAAACACACAGCATCTGGTGGACGCTTTAGCGCTCTGCAACACTATACAGCTCATATTTTAGTCTGGGTGGCCCTGTTGGGGAAGGCAATACCATCGACAAATGAGCACAAGAGCGCAAATGCATTATATACAGCCCATTCTTTAAACGCAATCAAAAATACACACACATTTTGAACTGCAGGACCCGACATTTGCAATATATCCTCTGTATTTGCTCACTGTGTGTGTGCGCGTAATTTTACGCAGACATTTATTGCGTGCAACCTGTTACGCAGACACCGTACATGTGTCACGCTGTTGCTCCACAGTCGCCTCAGATTGCATCCAGTCAAAATACCGCCCGTCGGCTGAGTGTGAACGTGCACATATGCATGATGGCGGATGGTGTCTGCTGCTTTATGGTGGCTCAGATGTGGGAGTTACAAGTGTCGAATATTTATAGTTTAACATATCCCCCCCCCCCATTGTGTATTATTTTCTCCTCTTTGACAGCTCCAAAATAGCCGAATGTTTTACTAAAAGGACCCTGCAAAAAACGTGACCCACAGTGAAAAACGTTTTTAAAAGCGAAGTCCCGGCGCCCTGCCCTGGAAATAATCGGTACCTCTCCAAAGCAAAGACTCATTTATTTGACATTTAAAACCACCCCCCCTGAGATCACTATGCAATAAAAAAAAAAATGGTTCGCAAAATGAGATAATTAGAAGCGGGAGACAGTACGCTGTATTCTGAATATAGCCTACACTTGTTAATCACAATTTGGCCATAGTTTGAAATGCAAGTTTGAAAATGCCTAGAATTGGATTTAGGTTTCTCTTACTGAGCAGACAACCATGAAAAACGCACCACAGTCTATTTTCGCTTGCGTACTTTTTTTTCCACAGTTTGACAGAAATACCATATATAGCTCCATAAAGCGTCTCTTTGTCCTTTTACAGGCGAATGTTCCCCAGCTTCAAAGTAAAGGTCACAGGATTAAACCCCAAAACTAAATATATCCTCCTGATGGATGTTGTTCCTGCGGATGACCATCGATACAAATTCGCCGATAATAAATGGTAAGAGAAAATGAAACACAACAACAATAACTTCTGGTGTATTAACAAACTTTTCTTTATTTTCACAATATTGGGTGTGACTGTTCGAGGGGTCGCAGCAGCCCCTGTCTGTTGACTTTACTCAAACATTAAAATGTATTTTGTTGTCCTGATGGACGAGACTCGGAAGTGGACATATTAATTCCCCGAGAATTATGAACTGTTTGTTTTCTCATGCGTGCCAAGAAAAGAAGTCAGCTGGGAGAAATGTTTCTGCCGGAGCTGACGTTTCTGTGCTTATTAAATGTTTTTTCTACCAGTTTTTGCAACAGGGCTGTCTTTCAGACCAGGCCACAAACAAGGTTATTTGTTTAGTGTCATGTCCATCTCTCTAACATTGGTCAGGAATGTTTTGTTTGGGTCAGCGCCTCTCAATGAGGACTTACTTAAAGAGGATAATCACATGCCAATACTGCCGATAATGACCTGTCCAAAGCATGCCCTGGAACTAATTGTCCGCTTGATCCAACGATGTTGTAAAACAATGTCTACCAGCTCTAACCTGACCTCTGACAGGACAAAAACCAACATCACAAAGTGTTGTAAACATCACTCAGAGGCACTGGGTGTACTTTTTTTTTATTTTATTTTTTTTAACTTGAATAACTATAAATAAGAAGTTTTACAGGTAAACATTGGTTCTGTTTATTTCTTCTTTTTTGTTGATTTAATTAATCCCTACCTCACTGCGAGATTACTCTTCAAAATATGCGTCACACTCTTCAGACAATCTCATGCGTAATTTCTACTTTTTTTCTTAGTTCTGTATCCAGTTCAGAGCATATCTGTGTCATTTTTTTTATTTTCAATGAAGCAGTTTGTATTCTCTTCATTTAATCTCTGCGTTATTTTTTAGATTTTTCTTTAAAATAAGTAAACTACCATTTACTCACATTGTAAGGGCTCAATTCCCTAATTTTGCAGTTGACATATGTATGTCACAAATGATCAGGTAGCTTTCTAATTAATATTTTCGCCTCTTAAACGTCCATTCCGTTATAGGTGTTAACAGTAGGACTGTGTTGCTGTGCTTTTAGGTCTGTAACCGGGAAGGCAGAGCCCGCCATGCCCGGCAGGCTCTACGTGCATCCGGACTCTCCCGCCACGGGCGCCCACTGGATGAGGCAGCTCGTGTCCTTCCAGAAACTCAAACTGACAAACAACCACCTGGACCCATTCGGACACGTAGGTGCCTATTGGCCTATCATCTTAACTATTTCACCACGTGTGTGTGGTGTGTTTGAATGCCTTTAAAACCTGCTGCTACATATTTAAAAGTTGTGTGTTGGTCAATGGCACAGGAGGGAGAGTTGTTACTGTTGCGCGGATTCAGCAGTAAAATCTAAAAAAGACAGCTTACAATTTGATATTCATAATTACGTATAAGATTATTCTACTTTTAAGAAACTTTGATTAAAGGTATTTAGGTTTCATTTGGAATTGATTAAAATTGGATCCACTTTTTCTTTCTAACATTATTTGTTTTTTATATAATATAAAAACATACAAGCAACTCCCTCCCCCCCAAAAAAAAACCTAGACATGCATAATTACGCTCCACGTTCAGATCTATCTGTTATATTAACTTAAATCTGTTTAAAAAAAACTTAAAATTGAACATGCCAGCAGCATGCTTCATAAACTCACTGACCATTGCATGAAACCTGTTGAATTATTGTTTTGCTATGTGTTTAAAAGTTGTAGTCGAACTTTAGAGAATCTTCAGATTTGTGCAAAGCTGCGAGTTTCACAAACTGTGTCGCCTTTATACGTAAATAGTCTTTTTTTTTATCGCCACTCTCTAATCTTTAATACATTTTCGATACTTGAAATATCCTCTTGTGGAATATAAAAAATGTCTAATTTTTCTCAGAATATATTTTAACACTTCATTATCTTGACTTCAAAATTAGAGTTGCTGTTGATGCAAAGTCAGGAATTAATAATATGAAACTTTGAAGTGATTACTTGACTTCCAAAAACAAAACAAAAAATCTAATCATCCGTTTTACTGGAAGTTAAAAGTTAAGCTCAAAAACATCCAGTGAGATGTTTCATTAATTGTATAAATTATCTGTATAAATGTCTAAGTTCTTCTCTGAGAAACAAACTAAATAGAAGAGAGATTCATTTAAAGGATAAAGTATTAGGTATCAGTTTTGCTGTGAATGTAAAAAACAACATGTTAACACATTTTAATTATAACAATGATAGAAAGACTGTGGGACTTTTTCCCTTTAGTGAGTTTAATCAAAAACAAAGAGAAAAGTTGACGCTCATAATAAATTAATATAGATTTTGATTCTGTGAAGTAGTTTATTAGGAGTTAAAACAATGTCAACAAAAAAGTGTTTTTCTGATTTGCTTTAAACCTCATTTTTTGTTCTGATAATCCTCAGTATAGACATGATTTTGAATTCTAACTCTGTTATGGTTGAATGTGTGGATGAACAGAATGAGATGTTTGGTTTTTTGCAGCCTGGAAACTCTTTGGCACTATGTGTAACCAGGCTTCATTATAGCACCCCCTAGATGCATTAAAAGTTGTCGACCTCCTGGAAGTCAGCCTGCATAAGTAAAGGAGAGCAGTTGGATACTTTTTAGCAAAACGGAAAGCTGCAATTGCACCCTCCCATCCACCACCACCACTGCCCCCCCCCCCCCCCAAAATCATTAGAGACAGTATGGTACCTATTTTCTAACTCCTCATTATTGTACACTCACTATCCAGCCCCAGGCCTTTGTGATTCCTTTCTTTACCCAAAAACAAAAACACACAAACATCACTTACTTCATCTACAAATGGGCCTTTGTAAAAAGTTGTTTTTTTAATGAAAATTACAACTGGATTGTAAACCCAGACCAAATTAGATGTAGAAACAAAAGTAGTAACATTAGTTTTTCTTGCTAATAAGCGCAGGCTTAAAAGGGAATAACAATGATTGGGTTGGCAGAGGTGCAGGGATAGGTTTTCCGTTTTTAAGGAGCTGGTTAAATGAGGAAAACACGAGGGATTGGATCAAGTTAAAATTGTTCTGTTAATGCTAATCAGAGGTGTTAAAATCATGAAGGAGTGAAATGACATTGTTTTTCAAAAGCTTCACTCGAACATGTTTTATTTAAACAATTTGATTAATCCCATTTATCATGCCTGCTGGGTTTTATAATTATTCACACAGGTACTGACATTGGTGGTGAAGCTAAATTTAGATTTTTTTGTTTATAGCTGTACATATTTTCAAAAGCTACACATAAAATGCATATTCAGCTCTACACAAACAATCCTCTAGCTTTCTGTCCACATGGCACCTATAGGGACTGTTGCCCTGCAAAATCCCAGCTGCCGAAATGAAACTGGATCTGAGCAGGAATGTGTGCAGTGTTGTAAATTTCTGGTTTGGAGTTCATTTTTGATTGGTTGCAGCGGTTCTTGGCTCCCCCTGTTTCGTGCTGGGAGACAGCACCCTGGGATTTATAAATGAAATGTGTTCCATCAGCTTGTTGGTCCAGCTGGTTGAAATAAGTTGTCGATGATTTATAATTACTAGAAGGGAGACATTAGACCGAAACATATAGCCGATGTCGATTGGAGCGTTTTTGAAAAACAGAGGTTTGAAGAAGTCGTTTTTCTCCAGAACAGTTCAGTAATTAGACACATGTCAGAGGGGTGAGCAGGGCCCAGCTCAGCAGATCTGCACTCTTGTGAAGGAGTGTAAAAGAGGGAGTTGAGCTTTTTGAGGCCTGGGTTGTGTGCAATGCAGCTTCCATTTTTTGTATCCAAATGATATATTTTTAAACACATAGCAAGTGATGCCCTGTCTCATCAAATCTTGTTAACCTAGCTAGTTAAATTCTTGCAGAATTAGGTTCATTTTTTTATTTTTAATTTTTTTTTCCTGTTTTTGAATGATTCTCTGTTTTTATCAAATTTGTATTTATGATTGTTTTCATGTTGCTTTTAATCTTAAAGGCACATTAGGAGTATTTCTTTTAACACTTTTTAAATTCTGATCTTATTGAAGTCCTTTGGTGAAGGTCTCCATAAAGACACATTTTCATACATATTTTATATAGGCTATGCTAAGTAATTAAATTGAGCTATTCTGCACAAGTGCTTTCATTATAGATACTTCAATATGTTGCAACATTAAGACTTCAGTTCTTAATTTCTAATGCAGGACTTGTATTAAAGTTTGCTGCAGGATTGTTCCAAAGGCTGGAAATACTTCTTTGTCCTATGCAATTTGGGCTTGGCTAAAAAAAAAAAAAATGCAAAAATTAGAAACACAAAACTTTAAAACAAAAAAACAATTCATTAAATTCAAGCTGCCAATAATTATTTAAAGGGAAAAGTTATATTCCCAAACAACTTCAATTTTAATGCAACTTCAGGTTTACCCTTTGGATTGTTTTCCTCTTTTTTAGATGTACTCATTTTTAATACTTGAGCCCATTTTGCCTTTAATAATTCTGCCCTCTATCTTGAGTAAAACTTCAGTAGATTAAATGTACGTTTCAGTAACTTGTAAAGGATGTTAAAACTTCTGAAAGCAACATATATACTTTTGTCTCACTGGTGTTAATCAATCAAATTGGTGTTGCTCCTGTATTTAAGTTCCTACACTGAATGTGTGTTTTTATGGTGCTCCATAGCAAACTGCACTTATTGCTTCAATCTCCCTCTAAATATGTGGAATATTCCTCTGTTATTCGTCTGCCCTCTCTTTCTTCTGCTCCTGCACTCGTCTCCCCGTCTTCCCACACATGTTTTTTTTTCGGGCCGGGCGGTCGGAGTGTGAGGATTGCACTGTTTATATTTGAATGGCAGTGTGCGTTGAGCAATAGATGATGGTGTACAAAGCCTGCTGATCCCGCGGCTCGGGGAAAACTCTCTGATGTGGTGGAACATGAAAGCAAAGGGCAGCGGCTCAAGACCCAAAGTGATCCCTCACTATCATTAAATACTATCATCCAGAGGCTGGAGAAGGAGGGAGGGGGTGCAGAGATACAGGGAGACGAGGCGTGTGCCCCAGTGGGTGGTCTGAATCTACACTGCTGCCCCCACTAACACACGCATGGACTTCGGGATCCCAGTTTGTAAAAGGCTGTTTTCCAGGGTCAAATGTGCGTTTAGATGTTTCCATGCAGCTCCTAATGTGTCTCATAGGCGGAGGTTTCTAAGTTCTAAAACCCTGTAAATGATGGATTTGTACTGATAGGTTTATTGTTGTGGTTTGTCCGGATCTTGGATGCATCTTTGCAGACCTCAAAGTAAGCCATCAATTAATGTGTGCATGGGAAAATGTTTGATTTGACCTTTTTTTTTTTCCTCTGCACCCATGTGTTTGGAAAGCTTTGAAAACTCTTCCAAAGCCTTTTTCTTGAATTGTTATTATCAAATTGATTAACTAAAGGTTTGTGCTGCTTGAAGTTAGGACATGTGGGAATCAAATATTTTGTTATTTGCATGATCACATAACAACACATTATACGAGGAACCAATGCTAACCTGTGCAGAGCTGCCAGCTGGAAATCAGCAGCAAAATGTATGTTTTGCAGCCTGAGGCTATTTTTTGGTACACTACTCTCATCTCAAATCTCCAACAAGAATGCAGCTCTTTCACCTTTTCAAGCTTATATTTTAGTTCATGGTAAGACTAGCTAAAGCTGACTCTTCAAAAGCCTGCTTTTAAAACCAAAGTGTTACAGTCGACTCATTTTTACTGAGCAGAGTCAGGATCTTCCAACATCTAGGCCTATTTCTATGTATAAATCTATATATCTATAGATAAGTATGCCGAAGGGAAGCCATGTTGGAACACATGTTTGCCCAGTTTCTGCCCATTACAAAAACCTACTGCACCATGAAATGAGATCAAGTTCAACTGAAAATTGATAAAGGATGACAATGGTGTATGGAAGCCTGTAGGGTTCACTTGGCTCTTAGAAAGAACTCAGGGTTATGTCTGTTTCATGCTACAGAAGCCTCCTCAAGTACACAGTGATTTATTGTGTCTTCTTCTGTGGCAGTGAAAGGCAGGTACAAAAACCAGCTTTGAGTTATCAGATAGGAGGAATGCCTGCGGGACAAAAAGGTAGGCTTACAAAGAGGAGTGGGTGCTTGAGGAGAATGGAAGAAATAAAAGAGATTTGTATTTTCAAATGTAAATGGATCTGATAAAAAATAAAAACCTTTACATTTTCTCAAGGCTGGTGACCAGGACTCCCCGCTCCGTCAAAACGATTAGACTTAAGAGGCACGGATGAGAGGGCCTGAAAAGAGAGGTTCAAGGCTCAAGTTCAGCTGTGTGGAACGCGTCTAAATGTCGCCAAGCTAGCCAATGGTAGTCATCACTTAGCACAAACTAGGTTAGTCAGGTTAGAGGGGCAACAGGAGAGTATAGGCATGCCAATGTCCATACTCAGTCTAAATTAGTCCACTATGCTGTAATAACTGTAACACAACGTTAGCCTCTGTTTGGAGTTACATTAAAGCAAGGTTCTGTGTCAGGTTTGGGTAGAGAAAAGAAGTATGAGTGGGACCACAACAAAGACAAAAGTAAGAATGCACTTGGCCTCATTTAAATACAAATATTATAGGGATCAAATGTCATAAGAGTTGTTTTATTATTATTGATTATTTATTTGTCTTCAAAGGGCACATTCTTATGCACAGTAGAATTTTCCAGACATTTGGGGAGACTTAATTGCAGAGGTCACACAACACGGACACAAACATGGATTGACAGTCTACACACCACAGACCAGATTTCTTGTAAAATAAGAGGTTACTTTTGTCGTTTTTTTTTTTTTTTTTTGCAGAAGCAGCAACACTACAAGGAGCCTTAACACAGATATTTTACACTAATCAACCCTCAGTTAGATCTATTTTAATCAGCCACACTTAGATCTACCTTGAAAAAGGGTCTAAAAAGGTGAAGCGGTTTTGCCTTAGCAACTACAGCTTAATTCTGCTTTGAGATGGATAAATTGCTGCTTTGTCTTTCCCTTAGCTAATGTCTGAATTTAGCACACATTTTGCCAATAAAATTGCTCATATTGCTGCATTAAACTGCACATTATGCTCATATTACTCTCTGGAAATGTAATGTTGTACATTGTACAAATGGGCTTTATAGCATGTCTGTATCTTTATTAAGTGTTAAAACTTAAAACTGAAATAAAAACATTTGTTTGGCAACACAAAAGTAAAGTGAGAATAACCTCCAAACAAAAAATTAAATGAAGTTACAATTCAAGCAGCCAAACAAATAATATTAAGGGGAAGATTTTGATTAGCCTACTTTCAACAACTTTATACTACTTTTAAGCCTATATGTGGGGAAAGAAACTTGGGCTTCATCTTTTTAGTTAGTTATTTTTTTACTCCAGGGTGTTTCAAAGAAATCTGAAGTTTTAATTTGCATCTAATTCTGTCTTCTGCAAGTTTGTAGAAAGACTGTTAAAACAGACCTTATTAAACAACATGATAACATGCATTACCCTACAAAAGGCCTCTCTAATGCTCGGCTCCGCTTTCTCTTTTCTTTTAGATCATCCTAAACTCAATGCACAAGTACCAACCGAGGATCCACATCGTGAAGGCGGATGAAAATAACGGCTTCGGCTCCAAAAACACGGCCTTCTGCACTCACGTTTTCCCGGAGACAGCCTTCATAGCAGTCACGTCCTATCAGAACCATAAGGTAAGTGCTGCATGGGCTATACTTTTGGATTTTTCTTTCCTTTTTATTGCCGCCCATGACTCAGTAAAAAGGCATTTTTTTTTTTTAATTCACGGCTTTTTTTACGAGGCGATTTCATTTTTACAATGTTTCCAACGTGGCAGAAAGTTCCAGAAATACACGCAGAGGCCTGCGCACATTAAAACTCAAGCCAAATGTGGAAATAGGAAAACCTCGTATATGCCTCGTACAAAACAAATTTAAACAACGTTCCTTAACATGAAGGCCTGCAAGGGTTTTATTATTTTCTGCTCATTTTTCACGGCAAGACGGCCGGTGTTGAAGGCTTGAGAGAAAATGAAAGGCAGGCTTCTTCGGTGAGGTTAAAGTGAAGCCTTGTCACTGTCAGCTGAAAATCTCTGATATCACACTGAGCCACTGACAGACGAGGGAAAACTTCAGATAGCCGACTAGACGACGTCTGACCTCAAGAGACTTTTCTAGGTTCCAGGCCTGCAGCTCTTTGTAGCGCGTGAGCAGCGGCAGATAAACCGGATCAACCTCTGACGTCACTTTCTGTCTCGTTCGGTACAACTAAACCCTTCATTTAGTGCTCAGCATTTTTTTTTTTTTAAATGCGTCGAATTTTATTTTATTATTATTATAGGCTACTGTCTATTTTATGTTCTGAAGAGTTTGGAAGCGTAATTGCAAACTTTCATGATTCATATTTTGGAATTGCATTTTTTTTTCTTTTGTTTGCAATGAATAAGGTCCCAGATTATTTTCAGCAATACATGACCTAAGTGTTCTTCTTTATAATGAAAGGTATTTTCGTGGTTACAGAAGATAGTCTATGTGATATAGCCTTACCTGTGAGTAAAACGGAAAATGTTCATTTAAAAATGACATGGCTTCATTTACTTTTAATTTATCTAAGATAAATGTTTCGTTTTTATTTAAAAATGAAGGCAATTCAAGGGGGTCTTTGTTGGATCTGTAGGCCTAATTATTTTAAATATGTAATCTGTATTTTTTAGTTCTCTTTTTCTTGATGTTGGCATCCCAAAGACGTTTAGTTTAAATTAAAATTGTTAAACGCTGTTACAATCTGGAAATCTAGAAGACTCCTTTCTGGAAATAGGTAATCGGCTGAAAATAGGCCTAGATGCTTGTTAATAAAATATTACGCTTCTTCAGGGCAGGCAGCCTAACAGTTGTTTACTTGCTTGTTAAGACTTGTGTAAAGAAGCAGAAATTAAAACTCAGTATTTACTCTGAGGCGGGGGAAATCTAGGGGCTACAGATATGTAAACAGCGTCTGTTTAACGTCATTTAACCGTGTGGGCCTGTTACGTTATATGTTTTTAGTTTGGGGAACAGGGGAGAAAAGGGGCGAAAGCTCATAATGTCCCCGCAGCCAATCAGAAGTCTCGTGCACCTCTGGGAACAGGAAACGTAAATGACCGGCTTTCTGTAGAAACCATTCATTATTCTCAAACTTCTTATTGGGGTCTGAGATCGTAACCCCGGGCTAATTATTGGGGCTTTGCAGACCTGCCGAAAAACAAGCATTTGTGATTTCAAGGCGCTTTACCAAAACTGTCTAATCAAACAGTCTGACATCTGCCAGAGCAATAGTGGCTGAAGGCATGTGTCCAATTCACCTGTTAGACTGGAGGCTAATGAAAATGGTCAAGGTCTCTGGTTTCAGGTCTTTCCTGTCACAGTTGCAACTAAAATATTTTTCCAAACTGTCTTTTCTGAAATATTTGTTTCTTCTTTTCTTCATGAATAAAACGTTGGAACTCTAAACCTCATATTTAAGTTGTATTTAATACATCTTTCTTTATTTTTACTTATATGAGCCTAAATTGTCCAGCACATCTGGGAATATGTTGAAATAGGCCTCAGTTATTTTAATGAGCATATTTGGATACATTCTTGTAAAACTGTGCAGTCTTTGAAGTCGTCAATTTTTGCAGGATTGTCTTGAGTCTACACCCACATTTATTTTTAACATCATTCACATCCTCTGTGCCATTATTTAAATCCCTTAGGCCCAGTCAGAAGAAAAACACCACAATGTTTTATTTCGTGCAAAATTCCGTATTCCCTGCTCCTGTAAACTGAACTCAGGTTATCACTAACGAAAAATTATTTGTCTAGTATTTTTTCTTCTTAAACAGCCACGGGGTAAGAGGAGTTCATCAAGGCTCTGAACTTGTAACTCCAAACTGTTTAAAGAGATGAAACAATATATCAAATATGTGCCAGGGTGTGCGTATTAACAAGAAACTATATAGTGAAGTGTCACACAAGAGATTTTACAAGGTTTGGTTGAAGTGTCAGCCAGCTTACAGACTCAAACCTCCAGTCTTGTCAGGAAGCTGGAAGCACAGGAGAGGTGCCAACTAATTACCTGCCAGAAACCGCTTCTCATGAGAGGGATCTCCCCGGATTGTGTAAAACCTCTTTGGGATTAATTTACTCTTTCAGAGTTGCTTGCTGCACTCTATTTTTGCTTGATATTTACAAAGACATTTATTACCAAAATATTAAGTCAGATGATAAATCACATTATTTGCATCTGTCAAGCATGAGCCAACTATCTGTTTCTCCAGATGCTGTCACATTATAAATTATGCAATGAAAATATGTCTTACTGAGAAATGATTTTATTCAGTTTCTTAGTTGAGGAACCGTTAAAACATCTTAGATTTTTGGAAAATCTATTATTTCATTCTCTTGGGTTATTTCTGAGCCGACAGATGTATCCCAAAAACTTCCATTGTATCAGCTTCAAGCTGAATAAATACTTTTATTTATAAATACTTTTATTTAGCCAAATAATTAAATGTTGCAATTTTTAGAACATTTAAAGAGTTCCCTTTGAAAAAAGACGAACATGTGATTGGAGTTTCGTTTTAGCCCTTATGACTTTTAAGAATAAATGAAGATGTTGTAATGAATTTGCACAACCATCACAACAAAAGACTTTCATGTCAAAATATGTGACCAATAAAGTGATTTTGTTGTTTCAGATAACCCAGCTGAAGATTGAGAACAACCCATTTGCAAAAGGCTTTCGTGGAAGTGACGACATGGAGCTACACCGGATGTCCAGAATGCAAAGGTAGCTTGAGCTCAAGCTTTATTTTGAAACATATGCACAAATCAATAGATTTTTTAAGATCGGCTTAGTTGAAGTGATCTGTGCTCTGATACTCGGAAACACTGACACAAACTAAGTGATGTCGAATGAGTTGGATAAATGTTGTAGGGATTACTGACATCCTGGTCACACTGTCACTTAACAAGCCCCTTAACTTTAATCCTTCAATCATCCAAACGAGAGCCAGTTGTGAGTGTTATTTTCAGTGAGTGTTATTCTCAATGATGTAAGTGTAGCTCTTGAGCCACGGCCAGCCTTCATGCTGAAGACTTTTATGGCTGATCTGGCAGAACCTCTGAAACACAACTGTAACATCTCCCATCCACACGGCTGTTTTTGCAAGGATGTTCCAACTGCTTTAGTATGTCTACTGCGTGTGTGTGTGTGTGTGTGTGTGTGTGTGTGTGTGTGTGTGTGTGTGTGTGTGTGTGTGTGTGTGTGTGTGTGTGTGTGTGTGTGTGTGTGTGTGTGTGTGTGTGTGTGTGTGTGTGTATTTGGAACCAATGGTATCAATCGGTCCAGCAGCCAATGCAGAACACAACCACATCGCTCTTTTTCTGTTATTCAGACCAGATGAGGGATGGAGCATGCGTCCATGCTGGGTCGAAAACACATTTTCAAAGGAGAAAATCTGGTTTTGAAGAACTCACAGCCCACCCCCACCCCATCCCCCTTTTGCTGCTGATACAAAAAGTGTATTCTAATGTAGAAATCCTAAATCAGGAAAATAATTGTGGAATAGCATTTTGGCTTTTGGACAATGTGCTAAAATCCTACCTCCTTCCCATAACCTTAAAGTCAAAGCCAGAGAATAAAGTTCTTTGTAATTAAGAATTTCAGATTAATGCCATGGGTTTATTATAAGCAAAATCGCTGCGAATCATGAGCTGCATTACCTTCACTTTCACATTCAAAATGGCACATTTGATTGTATCAGACACACGTTAAGTAACTTTAAGTAGGTGCGTGCCACAATTTAATACGACATTTTGAGTGAAATGCATTTCATCTATCAAAACTAGCGAATGTAAAGGACATGGTGAAAGTCCAAACCACACTATCAATCTTACTTGCCTTTGTACAGTCCTGCAGAGTACTGTATAAGCTACGCACGTCTGCTCCTGGTTACATTTCTGAAGGGAGGGCTTATTGCAAAACCAGGTCACTGTTTCTAGCGAGGCAATCCTTGAAAGCAAAGACGCAAAAGTAGCAAAATGATCTATTGACGGATGCCGAGGATTAATAGGAGTGAAACATGCTGCCCTGTGTAGTGGAAAGGGTTTTTCCCCAAGTGGAGTGTTAAAGTACAAAAATCAAACTTCTAAATTTGTTGTTTTTAAAGAAGTGGTTTATACTCATGGTATTTGGATGTTTTTGTGTCTTTGTTAACTTAGTACCAAGGAGTATCCGGTGGTACCTCGCAGTACGGTGCGTCAAAGGGTGGGCTCCAGCCAGAGCCCCTTCAGCGGGGATGTCCAGGGTATGGCCACCCCAAGCACATTGAGCTCCCAGTATTCCCAGTGTGAGAACGGGGTCACCAGCACCTCGCAGGACATGCTGCCTCAGTCAGGCTCCTACCCACTGCCACATGAGCCAGGCCAGGAGTACCACTGCATCAAGAGAAAAGGTAGGAAAAGCTGCTGAGCAGATTAAATGCCATAACTTTTATCATAGCTTACATAAATCATGCGAAAATGACAAATAAATTATGCCTGAGTTTACCAAATCTGACTAATTTTCATCTGCAGTCCCCCTTTTCTCTACACAGTTTTATGAATGCTACAAAAAGCTTATTAGTGACTTGCATTGCTGTTGAACCTCTTAAAACATACCAGATTATTTCATGTTGCAGCTACTAACTGGATTTTATTGGGGTTGCAGGTCATTTAACAAGACAAATATTCAATAATTTTTCAGTAATGGACAAATACGACAAGGTTTTCAAAGTTTTTACATTTAAAGATACTGAAAGGTTAGAGTGCATTGCCAACTGTCAGTTAAGATCCGGTGCAACCAATACTTTTGCATCCAGCATTTTTTGTTCTGCTTCCAACAGTATGTGCATCAAAGGGGCTATACTCATGTTAACAAAAAGTTCAAGGTACTTATGTACAAAGGATAAAAAATGTAAAATTCATTACATTTGTTTTTTGTTATTTTAAAAGGAGCAGTAGAAATAGTTTTTTTTTAATTGTCAGTTAATGAACAGATGATGAAGGTTCATCAGAGGATGATAAAATCAAGTAACATTGTAAACTTTTTGCTTAACATAACTGATATATAACCTATCAGTATCATTACTCCTTAACTCTCTATTTTCTCCTGCAGTGGAGGACGACTGTCACTCAGGTGAGCACAGCTATAAGAAGTCCTACCTGGAGAGCTCGTCCAGCGAGGAGGACCATTACTACCGTCCTATAGGCTACGCCCAGAGCCTTGGCCTAGCTGGCGGGCCGTACCGCAGTGAATCCAGCCAGCGGCAGGCCTGCATGTACGCAAGCGCCTCGCAGGGCGCCGAGCCAGTTCCTAGTTTGGAGGACATCAGCTGCAACACATGGGCCAGTGTCTCACCTTACGGGAGCTGCTCCGTAACCACCATGCAGCCAATGGAGCGGCTGCCGTACCAACACTTCTCGGCACACTTCACCTCAGGGTCTCTGGTGTCCAGACTCGGCGGGGTCGGGGGCCACGCCTCTCCGCAGCTGGCCGACGGCCACCATGCTGCAATGTACCAGAGCTCCATGACCCACCAGACTCTGGGCCGCCAGTGCAGTCCTGGGGCGGGGATCCAGTCACCCACAGCCGGTCTGCAAGGAAACGAGTACCTCTATACACACGGCATACCACGTACACTATCACCACACCAGTACCACACTGTACATAGTGTCAGCATCATGCCGGAGTGGAACGAAAACAGCTAAAGCCGCTTTTCCCATGCTCAATAGATAAAAATATCAAAAGGAAAACCGTAAAGGACCAAGATAAGGCAGGGTTTAGAGGAATCTATATTTATATTTTTAGAGGATGCAGTTTCTGATCATCTTAATAAGATCAGTGTTACTTCGCTGACAGCAGTGGATATTTTTAAGACTGCCGAGTAAGAAAGCAAGCATCTTATCACTTAATCTGTTGTGACAGTATCTGCACTTATATGCAAAACATTAGCATGAACAAAAAGGAGCCGGATCAGAAGATTATGAAAGGCTGCTCGAATGCAGAGAAATTGAAGACGATGGAAAACCAGTCACTTAAAGAAGAAAATAAAGTTTTATGGGCTTCGCCAGCAGTCCTCATGTTGATGGTGTCCTTGTGCGGTGGTGTTATTTGGATGTCAGTGTTTCAGAGACGAGTGAAATTGTTTCCATCAAATTTCTTGTTTTGTATCAGTGTCCCAACTTTGTGTAAAAAAAAAAAAAAGGAAGTTTGCTTTCTGCAGCATATTTTAAGTTCTTGTTTTTTGTTTTTTTTTTCTCATTAACAACTTGCGTTAAAAAGATTACGAAGCAAGTGGGGCTTTTGTTGTGGCTCTTACATCTTTAAGAAGGATGACCCTCTGCCCCATGTTTACGGGTATATTCACACGTAGGAAAGCACTTCAATAAAATAGCTTATTCATGCAAATAAAGACATTTCTGACAGACACTTTTATTGAGTGTTCAAGTTGGCCCTGATTTATCCAATGATATTAATATGATAAAAATAATAATAACTGGGTTTTAAATCCCAACCTCCCTTTCCATGTCATGTTGAAACAACATCAATCATACCCCCAAAGATCCAATAAACATTCTATTTACGATCCCTTAAACACAAGTCAAAATACATAACAAATGTTTTCTTATTCTTTTGGTATTGAGGGAAAAGGCAGAGTGAATGTGTGATCAGGCACCAGGTTGCTTGCCCATTGTAATTTTAGAAGATGATAAAATGTCAGGGCTTTGGTTTTGTCATCTTGTTGTGGCATTCTTCTGCATTTTACTGGTCAGTTCAGTACTAATGACTTGGCATAAGTAAAGACCGGTGCAAAACTTACATTATTAATCACGCTTGTACAAAATACAAATGTGATTTTTATGGTGCAACATTTCTTCCATACAATATTATTCAGCAATTTCTTCAAGAATGTCTGGTTTCAAAGGGGGTACTTCGTCTAAGATATTTATATTCACCCTTCGACCTATTCTCTATTAACTAAGAGATATAATGACACTCTGGTTTCACATACTGCTCGATTAGTTGGAAAGTTCTCATGAATCGTGTCCTTGCAAGCTACAGAAACTGCAAAGATAGGTCGTTGCTCACTAATGCTCGCCACAGTCTTGTGCGTTATCATGTGTATGTGTCCAATGCAGATTATTCTCCCAATTCCAAACCCATGCTGTACTCAGTGAATGTGTGTTCTTTAAAGTACTCTGTATTTATCCCCAAAATGGCACTTCATTCAAACTAATACGACAATCGAACTAAACAAACATTTTGACGAGCAGTTGAAAATGACATAGAATGTAAATTTAAAAAAAGGCAACAAAGTTTACTCAATAAACATGATGAGGTAAAGGTCAGTTTCACCCTACGAGAGAGTTTCTGTTAGAGCTTTGTTTTACATGTGGGAAAAGGCTAATCTTTACATGCTTGTAGTTGAGAGAATGCTATTGTCAATAGTATTTATTTTTCAACTATGTAAATCTGCTTGATTCAACATGTATCAAAGATAGATGGTCCCATTTCTTTTTATAGCCTGTTTTTGTATGATTGTTAATAGGATTTTCTAATCATTCTTATATAGAAAACAGGAAATTACTATACAGTAGGGATGTAACGATACCAAAATCTTGCGATACAATGATATCGCGATAACAAATCCACGGTTTGATATTTATTGCGATATTAAAAAAAAAGAAAAAGACTTGGAAAAAATGTCATTTCTTAAACAATAGTTGGACATTGAAACAAGGTGAGATGGATCAAATGACATAAAGTCCCTTTTATAAAGTAAATAATTGCACTAGCTGGACCTTGTAAACAAAACAAGTCGTATTCTTAGTACAACATCTACTATGTTTTCTAACCCTCTCTATACTACTACCTACCTGGCTTCTTAGTGGCCCTTACAAGTCAGCTGATTGGGAAACAGACCAAAACAAGAAATGACACTATTTCACTCAAATGGGGGAGGGGGGGATTGTATCAGGACAGTCTCTGAAAATACACAGCTCTTCTCAGTGGGATAGAAAAGCCCCTGGAAGTTGTAAAAACACACATATCACCAGAAAGCTGCCTGTTGCACAAAGAAGGTGACTTTTACAGTAAGTTGCTATGTCGTACGGCCTTTTTTTTTTAGAGCTGATCATTTAAAGACGACAATTTTATGTTGTATACGACAGCATAAAGAGGATGTCCACAGTTTTTGAATTGTATCTCTGTTCCCCCTCCCCACTAACGCTGGTGTCGCCATTTTCGCTGAACTGAGGCAGCGAGCAGAGCGCAAAGGATGATGGTCTCTGTAATTCCCATTTCCCTCGGGTCTGCTCCACTTCGGCTGAAACGAAACAACACTGTTTGCCAGGCAGACCTATTGTTTCATACAATCACAGGTCCACGATGATATCAAGACACTTATGTTCTCGCAAAATTGACGATATCGTTACATCCCTACTATACAGCTGTCAAAAAGTATGAAAATAAGATTGAAAACACATGGGTTACTTTGTAAATAAACATGTACATAACAGAATACCTGCAATAAATTCAAAAACTAAAGTGCTGTTCTTTTGACTGTTCTTGCCTAATTCTTTCTTTTTTGAGACATGGACATCTTATCGACGCTCCTATCAACTTTCATACACCTGTCCTTGCAAAACGTATTACACTTCATCAATTTTATGCCATGTTCCAGCGAGAGATTGATTTTGGAATTATTAAGATGGAAGATCTTTTAATATCAGTTTTCCAAAAGGACAGGGACATTTTAAATGTAAGCAAAATGCATGGATGACTGTCTCAAATCTAGGTTTCAAGTGAACACAAAATGCAACTCGTATTTTTCCCTTTTTGGCATTTTATCATTTTCTGTACCTAACTTTTGTGCAGATAGGATGACTTTCTGTGATTATGTGCACATTATCCAGCAAGCACGTAACATGGGGGGGGGGTTAAAATCAGTTCAATGCACAACTGATATGATAGTACGATGATAGCAACTATTCCTTACATTGCCTTTTGAGTTGTGGTTTACTGTGTAGTTCAAAATGTGGGATCGCATGGCTGCTTTCATTGTTGGTTTGGGTCAGACAGCTGTTTTTTTCATGAAGTCTGGGTACATGGATTTTAACTGAGTTTGACGAGGAACTCCAATCTGTAGTTTTCTTTGTCGAAAGCATGACTAATTTCTCTTGATAGCCCTGCCCACCTTCAAATTAAGCAGTGCTGTTATCAGAGCATCTGGGAACACGTGTGAGTATGTAGGGTCTTTAAACTCTACAATTTGTGTCCAAATAAAACTTGACTTGACTTTGATGTTGACAACACTGTACATGTGTTAAGATCAGGTTGTTTGTGGATGGTATTTCAACTTCATTGTTCCCAGCATCCCTTTGTCCAGAACATAATCCAAGGGATTAAATGTCTGCTGTCTAGACATCCTCCATACCCTGTACTACTTAAGAGCTACAACCTCTGATAAATCTCATGAGTTATAGTGTTAAACAAATGGAGTAAATTCTGCACTGATAGAAGATTGAACTCATATTGCATATCTGGCCTAAACCAAGCTGGTGGTCGATCGGATGGAAACATTATGTTGCTTTTTAACTTTGGTTGAAGCTTAGCAGTGGGAACACAATCATGATGGCACAGCAGATAGCACTGTCTTCAGTTCAGTTGTCTTTTCAGTGGATTATATCATTTCACTTTGTTTGGCATAAAACTTGGCCAAAAGCATTATTTTTCAGCAAACAACTCAACAGCTATATTTGTGATAGTAATGGCATAGTGACTTTTTATGTAGAATTCATGTACGTTAAGTTTAAACAAGAATGTACTGTGTATGACAGCTAAACTGACAGCAGTGCTTTGAGTCAATGGTGAGGAGAATTTCTGGTTAATGCTAAAGACCAGAGATCACTTAAAGGGTGATCTAGTGTTGTGAGTTTGTTGTGCATAAACTGATCACTCACTGCTAAAGGTGAGACAAAAAGTACGACAAAGAGCAGCACTTTTCTATCTGTTAGGATGTCCAAGCTGAAATGTACTCCAGTCCAAAGGCGAGTAACACTGGAAATACAATGAGTAGGTCCATAAACTTAAACCGGTACTTTCTCATGATCAGCCTTGTAAGATGTAGTACAAACCTTCAGCTTCTTATACAGCCTGTTTCCACTATAGGCCAGTGAAACCGAACTAACTCAAGGCTGAGATAATATAAATAGATGCAGCATGCTTTCAGGATGCAGCGTCTGCATGAAAGGTGCACAAATAAAAAACAACTTTTGCAGCAATATAGCTCCTCAGAGCATTAGCTCTTCTTTGCAAACAAAGACACAATTCAATCGGGGTGATGGGTGGGCCACACCACACAGAACTTTCAGACAGGACCCCTGAGTCCAATGCAAAACAAAAATCAACATTGATGTTAAACCCACCAGGTGTTTTTTCTTTCAAATGGATCACTGTTTTTGACTCATCTTAACCAAAACGTGTCACGTTAACCAAAGGCAGAAAAAGAAAGTAAACAGACCATCTATTTGTATGAGATGCAGAAGGGGGGCAAGAAAGCATGTTTATTCATGATCTTAGCTGACAATTCAATTTAGAAACTACATACAGCAAAATAAATCATTTACTTCTTTGCAATATACACCGCTCCGGCATTGTTGTCTTGAGGTTGTAAACATTTTGATTCAGTTAAGTTATTCTGAAGCGAGAAATGAAAGCTACTCGTCGTAATGACCAAGCCAACACAAAAATAAATTCAGTGTGTTTTAAAGCTAAATATATATACTTAGGAACACATTCTGTCTCATAGATGTTCGCAAACAATTTCTCTTTGCTGCTTCTTTCGTCTCGATTTTGAAACCATGAAAAATTTGCAGGGCTTTAACCTGCCCAAGCAAGCAAATCCACTGCTGCCATTTTTGCATTGAAATTGCCCTGTTTTAAATGTTATACATATAAAGTTTA